CCCCGCCATCCAGGACTCAAAGTCACATATAGCTCTGCTCTCTTCTGCCCTGCACACCCTTCCCTCCAGCCAAGCCATACTTCCCACATACTGTCCCTTTCTCTTGGGGAGGGCATTTCTGCTCCTACTTTAGTTCTCTGCTCAAGGGCACCTCCTCTCTCTCACCCCTTAGTTCACCACCAGGATAACTGGTCTTGACCCACAACCCCCACCCCTGCAACACCTGTAATATACCCCACCAGGACGTTGACTGTGCAGCCAGCTCACAGCTCCCTGGTGCGTTGTCTTCCTGGCATCACCCCGTTTGAAATTACGTTGTTCATTTGTGGGTTTATGTTTTGTAGAATGTAAATCCCACCAGGGCACATTAATGAATAGTAAGCATCTGTCCATCAGCAATTAGAGAAGGGCCATGTTTGAATATTGCGTTTCAATTGGTGAATTCTGGGGTTTCTTCTTTCCTTCCAGCCAATAGGGTGAGGGTCATAGTGTGGCGTCTGTGGCCACACAGCCCGGTAAACCAGATCTCCTTACCCGCTGGAAAGGGGTGTAGGGGGAAAGGGGGGATTGCTTAGACTCTTCATTCCCTAGCCTTTACTTCCTCCCTCCCACCTGGGGTGGCATACAATTCAGTCCCCAGAAAGTATGACTTCGCTTAGTACATCCGAGAACCAGAGCATGGAAAGGTTGATGTTACAACGACCTGGGGCAGAGGGAGGCCAGGAACCGGGGTCCCACTATGCTGCAGAGATCGTCCATATGATCTCTGGTCAGACCTTTGGGGCTGAGTCTGTGCAACACTAAACATGCCCATCTCAGATCTAAGGTCCTTGAGGATCCAGAGTGGGCAGGTGCGGGGGGATCGGGCAGCAGGGGGTGGTAAGGCTAACTTTGGACGGCGAATTCCCGGGCCACACCCCCAGCAAGTCCAAACTGAATATGAGTTTGTCCGGGAGCCTTGTTCATTAGCTCCCCAGGGGATTATGACACACGAAGTCACCTTGGAGAAAATCAGCAGAGTATCCCCAGTGCAACCTCAGAAATCAAACGGAAATTGGTCCCAGCTCCCCACTAACTTGGAGCCTCCATCAAGATCTTCTTGAAACTGTCTGGACCTCAGTTTCCTCCACTGTAAAATGGGGAGATTAATCCTCACCTCAAAGGTGTGACACATATGTAAGAGTCATGGCACACTTGACTTTTTAAGTCAAATCATTGGCCCAAACAGCAGGTGAGTCAATAACTGGTACCAAGTTATCTTTGTCATGGAATCAAAGCAAAGACAGTGAGGGGTGCTTGGGTGGCTCAGTCGTTAAGTGTCTGCCTTCTGCTCAGGTCATGATCCCAGGGTCCTGGGATCAAGCCCCGCATCGGGCTCCCTGCTCAGCGGGAAGCCTACTTCTCCCTCTCCCACTCCCCCTGCTTGTGTTCCTTCTCTCGCTGTGTCTCTCTCTGTCAAATAAATAAATAAAATCTTAAAAACAACAACAACAAAACAAAGACGTGAAACAAACTGTCACAGGAGAGATACCCACCCACTGCCCAACTCTCCAGGACATGGAAAAGTTCAATGAACAAGTTCATTTCTCTAGGGGCCTCAATCCTCTCCATCCACACACAAGAAATGATCCAGTCCCCTGCGAACCAATTCTTATGTTTTCTGTCCCATTATTTCAGGCAATCCAGATTTTCTGGGACAGCTTTCATCGTAAACAACCAATTAGACCATTTTCTGTAATAGAGGCTTTAGATCTGCACTGAATTTATCTTTCCTTCCACCTCGGAGGTCAATCTTTTCAATAAGGATAATTTATTGAATGTACGGGGAAATAGGACTGAATTTTAATACTTTACGAGACTTCTCATTTAGTTCAATCAATAAATCAGGGCAATGATCTTCCCTATACCATGTGGCCTAGTTCTGATTCGGAAAATAGGAGCCCCTGTCCCTGTCCCTGTACACATACGTAAGTGGTTGAATACGTAAGCTGTGTGTACCCTCTCATCTTTCTGATGCCTGCTTTCGCCTCAGCCAGCAGTGGAACATGGAATCATGGTTCCTGGAACCAAGCACAGACTTTGGATGCAGAGACTCAAGCTTGAGCTCATATTCTGACTCAGGTTTGCTGAATTGGATGACCTCAGGACCTCTGCCCTCGCTAGTCTCTTGGCTTGGACACCCTTCCGACAGCTAGCTCCTTCTCAGCTACAATGTGAATTCATCAGAAAGGTCTGCCTGGCCGCCCCACACCTGGCCTCCACTCCCACGGCAGCCCATTGCAGTGTTTTTATAATGAATTCAGCATATTTTGTTTGCTTTTGTATTTTCTGTCCTTTGAAGGCAAGGCATTGGGTCTTACGTAGGCTCTTGTGATGGAGGCTATGTGGCCAATCACATCCATACACGGGGCCTCAGAATTCTCATCTGTAAAACAGGGAGCATAACACCCAGCTCTGAGGTCTGGGTGAGGATTATGGGACACAATGACACCCATGGTCCTTTGTCCCCCTGCCCCCAGAGGGCAGCCTGGAAAGGAGATGTGAACCAGGATCTGGCTGGGGTCACAGGGGCTGGAATTAAGGCCATGTCTCCACTTGTTCGTGGGCCTTCTACAGCGCCCCCCCCCCAGGAAAGGATTGAGTGCCTTCCTACTTGCCCTCCAAGATCTCTCCCCATTTCCTCTTTCCCCCTCCCCTCCCCCACCCAACCTCACCAGCCTTTCCAGGGCTGGAGGGGTTTTCCTGGGAAGGGTGTGAGGCATTAAGCCCTAGGAGGTCAGTATAGGTTGTCAGTTAATTACAGGTGCTTCAAGGATAGCTCGGCTTTCTTGCCGTCACCCACCCCAGTGTTCCCAAGTCACTCAGAGCAAGACATTTGCAAACAGTAGAGATGGACACAGCTTTCAAAGGCCAAAGCCCTGCATTTCCTGCTTCCTGTGCTGGTGTCTCTTCCTTTCACCACCCTCAGTATCCTCCTCCTGCACCTTCCCCAGTGACCCCCACTCTGGACCAGGCCCTACCTGCCTGGCCACAGCTCCTGAGTCTCCCTCACCAAGCCTTATTCCCTGGGACTCACTGACACACAGCCTTGAGCCTTCCTTAAGAGCATAGCCTGGCTCCCCCCACATACACACATTGCTTTGCAATGTTGGACACATTCCTGCACCCTAAATCTATAAAATTTATGAAATGATGCTTTCTACTCATTCATTTATTCAATGCCTATCTATCAAATACCTACCAGGTACCAGCAACTCTTTTAAGCTTTGGAGGTACATCAGTGAACCAAACAGATGAAATTCCTTGCTCTCGCAGAGCTTACATTCTGGTGGGGAAGAGTGACCAGAAAACACAATGAAAAAAAATATATATAATAAAGATAAGTACTAAGGATTAAAGTTCAGCAAGGAAAGTGGGTAGGGAGCATGTGTTGGGGGGTTCACTTTGCAGACATTTCTTTGGATTCTCACAACCATGTTTTAGATGAGAAGCCTGAGATCTAGGTAGGCTAAGTGATTTGCCCAAGGTCATACAGCTTGTAAAGCAGTGAAGTCAGAATTTGAACCCAGGTCAAATCTATGCTCTCTTTAAAAAGTGATTCCTGACAGTCCCTAAATCAGTGTGGTAAATATGGTTGCCTTTTATTTCTGGGATAAATCATTTCAGTAATAAAAGAAACAGAAAGAGGTCTAAGTACACATTACGTTACGGCTTTTATTGAGGAATGCAATAAACATACATATCACTTTCCTGCATAATTTTAATGGCCTGCGGGGAAGAATTTTAGAAAAGCATCTCAGTCGGCTGAATGGTGAGTTTAGGGGAAAAACTGACCCAGCACAACCCCTTCATCTCCCAGATGAGGTCACTGCGGTTCTGCAAGGTGACTCGAGGTCGTTCACCAAGGCGCTCACCAAGCCGAACCGGCTTCACCAGATTTCGTAGTCTTTGCGGCTTTAACCCTCCCTGGGCCTGGGTGGCTCCAGAGGGCGCTATGGCCTGGTTCCCCGGAGGGCCGCCAGGGGGCGATAGACTGCAACGGACTCAGGTGAGCCGGGGACCCACTCCCCTTGGGCGTGACGTCACCTGGCGATCCCGGGGCCCTCCGGTGGGAAAGCCGGAGGAGGGAGACCTTTGGTGGAGGGAGAAACAGCAGGAGAAAAGACACCTTGGCTAGGAAGTCTATCCATTCTGCCCTCCCCGATTTCAGACTAGCCCCCACCAGTACCGTCTCCCCACTGCCGCCTGGACCGCTCTAAAACAAAAGCCTGACTTTGTCGCCACCCATGAAACTCTAATTAACGACACCATCATAGCTTACAGAAAAAAAGCTAAACACAGACCTGCATGATCTTGCCCTGGCCTAATTCCAGGCCAACATCCTCTTGGGCCCTATTGATATGCTTTCAATTCTCTAAATGCATCATACTCTTTCTACCCTGTGAGCCCTGAAACGTTTGGTTTCCTCCACCTGAAATATCTTTTCGCACCAGGCTTACCCGGAGAAATCCGTCTGTCTTTCAGCTAAATGTCACCTCTGTGAAACCTCCCCTGACAAGAGCCCCTCCCTCATCCCCCTTACCCCTCAACTCCAGTTTGGAGTCGGGCATCCTCCTGAGTTGCCACTACCCCCATAGGCTTCCCCTACCACACTGTAATAAACATCCGTCCTTGCCTTTCTCCTCCAGTTCTCCTCCAGCGCCCAACACAGAGCAAAGCAAACGCAGAGTTTATTAAAAGATCGCAGAACGAACGCTGAGAAAGCACAGAGTTTAGGCTCTGCCCCTTGTGTGACCTCAGACAAACTATCTGGTTCATGGGTTTGTTGTGGGGAGTGAATACACTCATGCATAAAAAGTGCTTAGAACAACTGAACACTGTAAGCCCTCAACAAACTTTGACTTGTCATTTTCGCCGCGGCCAACGTACGTCATTGCCCTTTTAAGGGACCCTCCCACTTTCTCATCTAAGCGGAAGTACCGCCTCAGGGTTCAGGAAGTGACCTCAGAGTCCCTCAGAAACATGGTTGCGGAGCGTTCTTCCGGAAGCGGTCACGGGCATCTTCGTGACGCACGAGTTACAGCGTCCCGTGGGGTTTCCATGGTGCAGCTCTCGGCCCCCAGTTCCTCCGCTTCCTCTCCTGCCTGAACGCCGTGGACAAGAAGGCAGGCGCCGGGTCCCGCCCGCGACGGAGACACCACCTGGCGGGGAAGAGTTGGGCGAGCAGGTGACGCTCTAGGCGAGCTCGTTCTCGTCTCTATGGTGCCGAGCGCTCCTTTGCGCCTCTCCCGCGCGTCGGGGCGGACGTTGCCCCTTTAAACGGCGGAGGGCGGTGCCGAGGAGGTCCCGCGAGAGCAGCGGGGGGCGGGGGGCGGTGCCGAGGCTGGGGGCCCGTGGCGGATGGAGCCCGCGATGGAGCCGGAGACTCTGGAGGCGCGAATCAGTGAGTGTCCGGGAGGGGCGCGGGCCGGACCGGAACCGGAACCGGGGGCACGAGGCGGGCCCCTTCCCGGCGGGGGCGGGGTGCGCGGCGCCCCCTCCCCACGCTCCGCCTCCGGCCCGGGAGAGGCGGCGCCCCGAGCCGGTCCCTCCGACCCTGGGGTGAAGGAAGAGCCCACCAGCAGCGCGGACCCGCGGTGGCAGCGGGCACCGCCCGCCCATCCGATCCTTGGGGGAGGAGTGAGCTGCGCCCAGAACCCCCAGGACGGAGACAGTAGTCTCGAAGCCCCTGAGGCCCAGACTTCTCCACTGAGGAGCGGACCCCCCAAGTCATTCCCTTAGGCCCGGGAGGGGGCAAGCCGGCGGCCCTAGGGCTGCATCTCAGACCCCAGAGGGAGGGACCCTACTATCCGTGGGCCCCAAATCCTCCACTCTTTGGCCCTGCATGGAGTGATTCCCTCCTATACGTTCCTTGAGCCTGCAGCTCCTCTCAGATTTGCTTGTTTTCTCGCCCAGGAAGGGAGGACTCACTGGCCCATCAGATCCTCCAAGCCGCACAGTGAGAAACCCTCAAACCGTACCGGCTTGGGAGGGTCCCATCTGAGACTCCAGAAGTAATGTCAAGTTCTCTATCACTACCCTCAGCTCAGCCTCTCAGATTCTGTACCTCCACCCGAGACTCCTTTCCCAGCCCTTGGTGACCTTCCTCCAAAGGCCCCTGAACCCCTTTCTCTGTGTGTCCCCAGGCACTGGTTCCTACTGCTCAGGCTTCTGAGTCCCCACACCCTCCACCTGACCTCCCTATCCCATACTGCTGATGGGGAGATCCTTGACTCTCACAACCCCCACACTGGACTCTCCCTGGGCTAATGACAACTCCCTTCCAAGTCTCTTCTCCCCTTGGTCCACGTCGGTGCCAGGGCCTCAGGGAGCCCTTGGTCTACCTTCAGCTCAGCTCCTTGGCCCCTGGCACACCAGGGAGCTGTGCAGGGGGATTTTCGGTCATGGCCAGCCCTTTTTGAGCCAGTCTTGAGCAGAATTGAACCCTGAGGTTGGTCCCAGAGCCACAGCATTTCCAGGCATGTTTCAGAGTCAGTCTAGCCAGTGGAGGGGAAGAGCATGGAAAGGAAGCACTAGGTGGCCATTGAGACTGTTCCAGAACGCCACAAGTGTCCAGGTCCCAGCAGCAGCTTGGGAGGATGGGCAGGGCCCTGGCTGACGGAGCTGACAAACTTCGGGACTTGAGCTGAAGGTGATACAAAACACTCACAGGTTTAGCAGTGGTGGGGATTTTCTGAGAGTCCAGAGCCTGATCTGAGAAACAGGAGTCAGGACACCTGGGTTTGGCAGTAAGCTGGACTCTAATAGACTGAGGCTACAATTGTTTTCTCTTTTTCTTCCCCTTTGTGCCTTACTGAAATTATAAGCTCTTCCCTTGGCAGTGGTTTGGAGGTAAAGAGTAGCTTCTGGTAGGTCAATGCTGTTGTCACCACTGTGGAGTGACAGGGTAAAGTCATGCCCTATTGTGAAAGACTTCCCTCTTGCCTTCCCTGGGTGTTCTCCCTTGCTTCCTGCCAGGGAACGGGCTCCCCCCAGGTAGAGGTAAGAGGCCTGGGGGTTGGGGGCCCAGGCCAGAGAGGTTAGTCAGCCCTCCTTGGAGCCAGTCGCTCTCACTCTGAGCCAGATGCAGGGGAGAAAGCTGATGTCGTGATGCCACTGCTTCTTCCTCACTGGCTTCTGACTCAGGAGCAGTTTCTAGAACTAGCTTCTCTGTCCTCACTCAGACTCATGTGTCTGATACTTGTAAGGGACTTCCCGTTTTAGGGTCCCCCAGCCAGATGTCATTGAGAGGGCAAGACCCAGCCCCATTCTATTTTTCTAACTCCAGACTGGTGTTCCTCAGCCTCTGGCCACATTGGGGGACTAGAAGGCAGAGTAGATGGCCACACTTTCCCTTGGTTGGGGGGGATGGCAGCTATTCCTGGGTCCCTGGGCGGTCAGCAGGGGCTTCCTTTCCCTGAGGGACTAGAGGGCTCTGCAGGGCTCCTGGAACAGAGATTTGTACCCAGAGAGAAAATGCTTCATTCAGATCTCTGCTCAGCTGCACCTCCTCTGAGAGCTCTCCCAGAGAGAGCAGCAGCACCGCCCCCCCATCAAAACACTTTCTGTACGTTCTCCTTGCTTTAATTTTCTTTATGGCACTTCACAACAGCATACAGTGTTCTGTTTGTTTATCTGAGTAGTCGGTGTTTCTCTTGCTGAGCTGTGAGCTCCGGGAGGGCAGGGATTTTGTCTTGTTCCCTCTGTGGCCCCAGCACTCAGAATATTTATTGGATAAATATGAATGGAATAAATGGCTGCCAGGCATTGTGATCCCAGAGCTCTGGGCCTTCCACCACAGCATAGAACCCAAGTGGGCAGGCACCACGTGTTGGGTCCTTGCCTCCTCCTGTCCATAGATCCTTCTCTGTCCCACCTGCTGGGATATGTTCCCTCCACACCCCCTGCCCAATGTCAGGCTTGGGCAGAACAGACCAGAATAGAGTGAAACTTAGAGAGACTTCTGGGAAGGTGGTGAAAATCCAGCTCTGGTTGTCGCCATGGCGCCGCCTTGTGTCAAGTGTTTTGTCATCTAAATCAGTCCACATTTCACTCCAACTTCACAAATGGGGAAACAGAGGTTCAGGGAAGTTTCGTGAGCTACTTGATTATTTTTTAACCAGCGTTGGGTGTCAGGGAGGTGACCATCGGGCCTGGTTTATCACCCCCTCCTGTAGACCTGTGCCCTTTCCTGGCCACTACCCATTCCTGGATTCAGACTCCCCCAGAACCTATGCCCACCTGCCCACAGCTGAGCCCTCCTTCATTCATTTGCTTGCCAAGGGGAAATCGGTGTGTGCCCAAGAGGCTGGGATGCAGTGCAACAGCAGGCTTGGGCCCTCTGATGAAGGTCAGAGCTGGGGTCACACAGGAGAGAGCTGATCCAGCAATGCCACCCTGGGCAGGAGCCAGGGTTAGGGAAGACTTCGTGGAAGAGGTGATACCTGAGCCTCACTCCTCACTAAGGTCCTTCATGCTCTGCCCTGTGCTCAATGATCCACATCTCTCCTCCTCATTCACGGCCCTCATGCCATCCCCAGCCTGGTTAACTCCTGCTTGAGTGTTGCCTCTTCCGGGCAGCCTCCTTGGCCCCAGGCCCAGCTGAGTCCCCTGCTCATGGCTCCTTCGCCTCCCTTTGTCACGTTGTATTGAGAACCTAGCTTCCCTTGGCCCACTTCCCAGCCACACGGCTCCTTAAGAGCAGAATTATGGCTTTTTTTTTTTTTTCTTACCTCTGGATCTGAGTGCGTAAGGAACAAAAGAAACGGAGGTTTCTTTTGAAACGAGAACTGTGAGGACACTTTCAGAAGCAGAATCAGAGGAGGTACAGTCAGGCAGGCAGACAGGCTTGCAGCTGCGGAGATGGGAGCCCGAGGGAGTGGGGGAACAGCCCCTGAGCACCATCGCTACAAGTAGGGCTATCCAGGGAGAGGCTGCAACGGAGGCAGTGTCCAGGAGCTCATCTGTCCGTTGATGCAGCTGAAAGATCATCACTCAGGTCTTGAAGCTATCGGGGCAGGAAGTCAAGGGGAGTCTTTTTGTATGCTCAGTCCTACCCCTTATCCCCTACTGATCAACCCTGCTGCTAGAGTAGGGAGTGGGAGAGGCAGGGACCCCTTTCACCAGACCATGCTGGCCCTCTCTCCTCCTGCAGACAGAGCCACAAATCCCCTGAACAAGGAGCTGAATTGGGCCAGCATCAACGGCTTCTGCGAACAGCTCAACGAGGACTTTGAGGGGTAGGTGGTCTCCTCCTTTGCTCACGTACTCAACAGAATCCACTGTGCACCTGCCGTGCCCACGCCAGCCCCTGGCCTCGGGTGGAGACGTGAGTGGGTTGAGACTCCGTTTTCATCCTAATTGTGCTCACAAACTAACGACGGCACCGCTACCATCACTCCTTCAGTATCTG